GGATTCAGAAGAGGAAGTGGAACAAGGGATATCATAGCTGTTGTCAGATGGATCTTGGCTCAAGGCAAAGAATACAAGAAAGATGTTTACTTGTGTTTTATTGACTATGCAAAGGCATTTGATTTTGTGGATGATGACAAATTGTGGATAACATTGAGAAGAATGGGAATTCCCAAACACTTAATTGTACTTATGAGGAACCTGTACCTGACCCGGAGGCTGTTGTTCGAAAGGAACAAGGGGACACTACATGGTTTAAAATCAAGAAGAGGGTGCATTAGGGTTGTATCCTTTCCCCATACTAATTCAATCTATGTATTGAGCAAATAATCTGAGAATCTGGACTATATGAAGAAAAATGTGGCATTAGGATTGGAGGAAGACTCATTAACAACCTGAGATATACTGATGATACAACTTTGCTTGCTGAAAGTGAGGATGACTTGAAGCACTTACTTATGAAGATTGAAGAATACAGTCTGCAATATGGATTACATCTCAATATAAAGAAAACAAAAATCCTCACAACTGGACCAATAAGCAGCATCACGATAAATGGAGAAAAAATTGCAGTTGCCAAAGAATTCACATTGCTTGGTTCTACAATCGATGCCATTGGAAGCAGCAATCAGGACATTAGACAACGTGTAGCACTCAGAAGGTTGGCGGCAAAGGAACTCTTTCAAGTGCTGAGGGGCAAAGATGTCTCCTTGAGGACTAAGGTGTGCCTGACACAAGCCATGATATTTTCAATGGCCTCATGTGCACGTGAGAGTTGGAAAATGAATAAGGAAGACCAAAGAAGAGTTGATGCTTTTGAGTTGTGGTGCTGGCGAACAATGCTGAAAATACCATGGACCGCTAAAAGAACTAACAGATCGGTCCTAACATTCAATTAACTCTTCCATTTTTATTCCATGGTCATGGGAAATACAGAAACATCTCTGGAAGCTGATTAAAAATTTTGCATCTCCTCTTGGAAAACTCCTGAGCTAAGCTTAATTATCCTTTTCAAAAATCGGTGTTATATCTTGAATTATTAGTTTCCTTTGTTTTTAAGTATATTTTGTATTTTTTTATAATTAAAATGACTTCTCAGAATAATGCAAGTTTAATTTACTTCTCAGTATAATGGAAAGAAATAATAAAAAAAAAATTAGACCATTTCTTTTGATCTGTGGACACACAATGATAATGTATAGGAATAATTTAAATATGTTAAATATTTATTGCATACAACAAAGTTTCAAGTTCAGATTTTTTCCTCCATGTAGTACATCTTGCCCCTGAGGCCCACAGTTTAATAACCTAATCTGTCACTTTAATCACATTTTTGGCACTTGCACTTTAACTGCCAATATGATTTTAATCATTTTATTATTTAATTGAACTTCTATAAATAGCTAAAAGCCCTTTATTTTTAATATTTAGGCAAGATCTTCTGATAAATTATTGATATAAAATGCAACATAGTGATGTAAAATGGCCCGGGTGTTTACAGTACCAGTTGGATTGCTAGTGTTGCTATGTTCAATGTAAAGGTTTATACATATATACCTAAATATATACATCTTTTTATTTGTCTTTCTAACTTGTAGGAATAAATGCCATCAATACAGTGATTGCCTAAATTTTATTTACTTTTACCTTTACCTTTATAAGGAGCTCTGGTGGTACAGAGCTTAAGGCATTTATTTAACTGCTGACCAGAAGCTTGTTGATTCAAACCCACCAGCCACTCCAAGAAAGGAAGATGCATCATAAATCCACTTCTGTAAAGATTTACTGCCTTGGAAACCCAATGGGGGGGGGGTCCCTATGAGTCACAATAAACTTAATAGCTGTGGGTTAGGTTTTTAGTTTTTTATTTTCATAAAACGTGATCTCTAGCCTTCTCAAAGTTTTACTTGATTTTATCTGAGAATCTGGAAGGGTGTCTCACGTGTGGTTATTCACATTATTTATTCATTTTAATTTCTGGTCATACCCGCTGTATCAATGTTCCTTGCATGCCTCATCACTGCCTCTGATGATTACCTCCAATAGGACATGATTTTCATTCTTGTATACTGAACAGTCTCCTGATACTACAAGACAGCTCTTTATTTTTTTCTTTTTATCTCTTTCTAAAAGTTCCCAGAGTTTTGAAAGGAATTAATCTGGTATTTCCAGTTTAACCCCAGTAGAAGTTTAAATACTGAAAAGCCTCTGCAAAAAGTATATTTTGTTGACAGGTTATTGTACTGAGTATAAACCCTCACAAAAATCGTATCAAAATCAACCAGAATGGGAAAATGAATAATACTGGATCAAAGTTAGGTCTGTATTTGCTGTATGGCCTTTGGAATTTTGTTTCTTCCTCTCTCACATATTTTTTAAGTAGTGGGTCTATTGGAAAATCTTATTGAAAATCACAAACTGAAGAGCACACATTTTGTTTTATTATTTTCTCACCAGAACCAGAAACAGATTTTAAATTACCATAAACCCCAAAACTTCCTTTAATGTTTGTGTAACATCTTGACAGTTGTGCCAGAAGATGTTGGCGTCTACCTTCAAAAAATTTCATCTGAAATATTAATTTCTCTTTTCAAGGAAACCTTGGCCTTTCAAGGAGATGTTGTTGTTGTTGTGTCCCCTTAATTTTGTGTTTGCCATTTTTTCCTCTTGTGACATTCAGTGCAATCCCCACATTATAACAGTGTTCTTCCCACATCCTCCCTACACCCACCCCTTCCCTTCATCTCTCCCCTCCCCTCCCAACTTCCTAGTTCTATCCTTAGGCAAATATTGTCATCTTTACTCCATATGCTTGATTGTTATAATGAGTGCATTCCTTCTTGATGTTCCTGTTCACTTTATAGGTCTGTCTCCAACTTGACAGTAGTGTGTTGGGTTGTGTTGCATCATTTGGCTCCCAGTTGATCACGAGGGTTAAGTTCAGGCCTTAGCTTGAAGGGTGTCTAAAGACCATAGTCTCAAGGTTTCCCCCACTCCTCATCAGACTAGTAATCTTGGTATATTTATTATTATTATTATTATTATTTCAAAGATTTTGAATTTTATTCCACATTTTCCACCACTCTGTCCAGGACCTCTTATTGTGATCCCTTTCAGAGTGGTCAGCCATGGTATTTGGGTATCATCTAGTTTTTCTGGTCTCAGAGTTGTGAAGGCTCAGCTTCACAATCCTCCACTAGTCTTTTGGATTGATTGTTTCCTGGGTCTTAGATTTTCTTCACTTTGTTCTGGATGGGGAAAGACTAATAGTTGCACCTAAGATGTCTGCTTACAAGCTTTTAAGACCCTAGTCACAACTCACCAAAGTAGGCTGTAGAACATTGCCTTTTTGAACTGTTTATCTAATTGACCTTAATGTTCCTGAGACTGTGGAGCTGAGCCTCCATACCCAGCAACTCATTCCCTCAAGGTTTTTGGTTATGACTAAGATGTTTTCATAAATATATATAAGTTTGACAGTGGCTATCTCTACATATAAGTTTATATGTGCTGCAAATATATCCATGAATGTTGCTATATTCATGGAAATACATTCATGGATATATAGTCCCATTCCCTTTCCCACTCCTGTTCAGCTTGAGTGTCTATCTATACATTCCCTCTTAAATTATTGCTATTACTGATTTTACTGCTCATTTTCAAACCTTCCCAGATATCCTATGCCTTATGGAATCTTTAGCACTGACTTGCCAACATATTCCATGCACAAGAGAGAAATATCTGTTACTGTCCATAATGCTCTTTCTATTTCTGTTCATTGGTGATCTAAAGTCACATTCCAAGATCTAGTGGTCTACTTTCCAGAGAACTCAAACTTGTATACAGTAGACTTAAACTGAGAAACAGTGTTGGATAGACTCCCTTCTTTTCTCTCCACCCTCTCTCTCTCCTGGTACCTATCTGTACACAGATCTCTGTCTTCTCCAGCCAATATACAAATTGATTACTCCTTTCTACTAAAGACTCATTGCCATTGAGTTGATTTTAACTCATAGCACTCAGCTGCAAACCAAAAGGTTATAACTCATCAGCCACTCCATGTCTGCTTCCTTGAAGATTTAAAGCCTTGGAAACCCTATGTGACAGTTCTACTCTGTCCTATAGAGTCACTATGAGTCAGAATCAACAGGACAGTAGTGAGTGGTTTTGTTTTTGTTTTTTATCTACCAATGCATCATATATTTTCAGACATTTCTGAATTTCATTTATCATTTATTTGGAACTCTAACTGTATCATTGGCCATATAATATATGTATGCATATATTATTGTTGTTGTTAGTTACCATCTAGGTGATTCTGACCCATGGTGATTTTATATGTATACATATTTATGCCATGAATAGTTTCAAGGAAGAAAGTGGATCTAAACTGGCTAACTGTGAATAGAATTTCAATTATATGACCCATTTCCTTCCCTTTTCTTGCAGGTGACAATATGTGCAGAGTAAATAATGGTGGCTGTAGTAATCTTTGCTTGGCCATTCCAGGAGGCCGAGTATGTGCCTGTGCTGATAATCAAGTTTTGGATGAAAATGGGACAACTTGCACTTGTAAGTTTCTCTTTTTGTTACATTTACTTTTTATATGTCACACTCTAAAGACTAAAAGTAGACAAAACCAGATGAAGTAAAATTAAAATCAAATTTGGAAAGAGGAATTCAGATAATTGCTTAGTCTTGATTATACCTAAATTGCAAGTAATTAAATGAACTAACTTGTAATATTCAGATTGATAAGGCTAATAATGAAGTTTTGGAAAGTATCGTGTCATTGCTGCATGTAGTTTAGTAGAAAAAAATAGATAGATATATGCCACAGGGAGCAACTATTTCATTACATTTTCAGTTAACCTCACCATCAATATTGCAACGAAAATGAGGAAGTGTTGGTTGCAAAGATGATAGATATGTTTATGCATAGCATAGATAAATTAAATTACTTGTAAGGCTCAATTATCTATATTGTTTGGTGGTGAAGGGTAAAGAAAGGCACAGAAAGAGGCTTTTGGACTATTCTGGACTTCCTCAAAATAGTGAATTGACTGGTTGACTGACTGGGATTATTGACACTTTATGATTTTCATTGACCATCCTCACCTTACGCCATCTTATTATTCTAATTTGACTCTTTTTGAAATTAGTCAT